AAGGGATGGATGACAAGGAGATGAATGACATGACTTATGGAAACAGTGGATCACTAGTGATGGCTACAGGCAGCAGTGACAGAGTCACTGTCATCTCTGGAGACAACCAGCCTGGTACCCACTCCCTAACAACTCTATCCATAACAACAACCAAAGCCTGTGCAGAGACTTCCAGAGGCTTTAGTTGGCCTCTGGTAGAGCCTGACATGAAGGAAGTCCCAAAGTACAGGAGTCCTACAATCCTCCAGGACAGTTCTGGCCGAGAGCTGTGAAAAGATGGATTTGTCACCATAAAAGATAATTTCTGAGCAATGCTTGCTCTAATAAGTAATAAATTAGGCTCTCACACTAAGAATTGTCTCAGTTTTAGTAAAAGTTCCATCAGAGGATTCATGTGAGGTCATTTGGGCATTCAAGTGACATAATTAGATACTGTTTAAAGGTTCCTTCCAAGCCAAACCATTCTGTGTGGTCTAAATCCTATGCACAGTCCTGTGCTTATCACCTTCTGAAGCGTTGTGAGAACCCAAAAAGCCCATGGTCATAATTACCCACTCCCAGTTGGGTGGTAAGAACTTTTTTTGACAAAATCCATTATATAAAGGCAGTTACAGAAAACAGAAGCCCAGAAAATCTGGTTTCCAACAGATCGAGCACTGGGCAAAACTAAATTCATAGGAAGCTGATTTGAAGTTGATCTGGAGGAATATTTGTTGAACAATTCATCACAGAATCACGGAATGGTTTGGATTAGAAAGGACCTTAAGGGTCATCTCATTCCAACCCACTGCTGTGGGCAGTCCTGGGCTCCACAGATGATTCAAGACCATGTGGTTACTCTTCAGTCCAGAAAAAATGAGTATCTTTCCTCCATCAAATCAGACTCCTTTCTCTAGAAATAATGAGCAATTCCTAGGTACTCATTATCCTATTTACAACACCTCAGCAACTTCTAAATAAAGTACAGTGAGAAAAACCCACCACCACCACAACACATCCGAGATCAACTGTAAATAACACAAAACACTCCACACCTTGATAATCCAAATTAATTATCCTCAATCTTATTATTGATTTTTTCCCAAGTTTCCAATTCTTCTTCTTTACTGTGAGGGTGGTGAGACACTGGCACAGGGTGTCCCGAGAAGATGTGGCTGTCCCATCCCTGGAAGTGTTTAGCCTGGAGAAGAAAAGGCTCTGGGGAGACCTTAAGACCCCCTGTCAGTGCCTAAAGGGGCTCCAAGAGAGCTGGAGAGGGACTTTGGACAAGGGCCTGGAGGGACAGGACAAGGGGCAATGGCTTCCCACTGCCAGAGGGCAGGGTTAGATGGGATATTGGGAAGGAACTGTTCCCTGTGAGGGTGCTGTGGCACTGGCACAGGTTGTTCAGAGAAGCTGTGGCTGCCCCATCCCTGGAAGTGTTCCAGCCCAGGTTGGATGGGACTTGGAGCAACCTGGGCTAGTGGAAGGTCTCCCTGCCCATGGCAGGGGGTGGAACGAGATGACCTTTAAGGTTCCTTCCAATCCAAACCATCCACTGATTCTCTGCCTCTGTACCAGACAGAAATGACCCAATGACAACTTCTTCTTGCAAAGGAACCCACAAAACACCTTAAGGTACTTCTTCCCTAACTTGCTCTTTGCTAAGCTATGTTAAGCTCTGAATTTATCATAATCTAAGTGTTGTACTTCTGCTGGAAGAAAACAGATTCACAGATTCTCATGAGTTTTGGGACTAGATGATCTTTAAGGTTCATTCCAACCCCTTAACATACTTCATTCTATGACTGAGCATTGCGAAGCTGAAACCATGTGACTCTGCAGTGCACCTGTGGGGATACACAGCCACCATCAGCTGCGAAACCCTGAGACATCAGAAACTATTTATGCATTAGGAACAAAAGGCTTAATTTTCCCGCACTTGATTTTTTTGGAGGTCTTAGGTGGGTTTTGTTGTGTTCTTTTTCTCTTTTAAAAATCCCATTTATTTAGTCATGTGTCATGTTCAAAGTTCCCTCCACATCTAAGATGATGCAACCACAGGAAGCTTCTGGTTTCCTATTTTGCCCTGAAATTTCCAAAGCTTTTTGGCAGCTGGAGAAAGACTGAGACTGAAAACACTTTTATTCACAGCTTCCTGGTAAGATACAAACCTATTCCATGCCAAATCCTAGTAGCAAAAATTATCACCACCATGCCTACCCCTTCCAAGGAGGGACATCATTTCAGGAAGATGCAGTTTATCAGGGCAATGGGATATGCAACTGTTATCTTAGACACTGATGTTTTATTTTGAGTGATATTTATAGGGCTGTGAGCAGTGATCTGTGGCTGCAAGAGGAAGGCAGGTAGAGAAAAGCTGCACCCCTGCAGGGCAGGGTGATGCCTGGAGTTCATGGAAAGGGAAGAACGCTCCAAGCACGACTTCTTGCAGTCATTATCAAAAAATAAAGTAATTAGGAATAAAATTAACATATTTACCCTCAATTGTAGCTCATCTTGTATATTCCTTATTATTATTTATGTGGTGAAATGCTGGAACAAATAATTCAATAAGAGAATCTGAAAAAAACTGCTCAGATTTGGAAAAGCAGCAAGAAGAGTGTCAAGCATGATTACTGAAGTCCCCTCTTCTAAATCTGTTACCCCTAGACACTCCCACCATGTGCTTCAACTTGCCAACCTGAACACAATCAATTCTCACAGCAACATAAGAAGTTCCGAGGTGTCTAACATAGATTTGGTGTCTTCAAGGAACTGTCAAGTAGTTCACTGTAGATGTTCATACCTTTGCTTCAGTCATCACTAGAGATGAAACAAAAAAGGTCTTAGAAGAAGAAAAAAAAGAAAGAAATTAAAGAAAGAAAAATAAATAAATAAATAAAATATCAGAATAAACTAGACCAGAACTCAATATAGTCAATGCATTAGGTGCTGAATTCACTTTAGGCCATTTCTTAGTATTCTTAGCATACACATTACCCTAAAACAAACCACAATTTATGGCAATGTTCTTGGGCATAAGCACTTAAGACAAATCTTGTTCTCTCTTCTATTCTCATGGCCTTCCAGTCCTAGATATGTCAGGGACACTCAAAACACTACAAGAGCTCAGGTGACAATGGAAATTTAATACAAGTGAGAAGAACTGTGCGTTGCTTTGGGCTTTTCACAACTGTGTATGGAAAACTACAGACCATTCCTTATGGTGGCATCAACAGACTCCAATCCCACTGTCAATAAAATTGGTAGGAAACTGCTTTCTGTCCTTCTGTAGCAATGTGGAATTTTCACAACTTAGATACTAACTTGTTCATTCTTGTTGATCACTGTTGTTTCATTACAACAAGAGGAAAAGCTCCCAAACAGCTATCAAAACCTCAGCTACCTACAATGCATACTGGTAGGGCTATAATTTTTAAAACTAAACAAATATGGAATGTTTCATTTCATAGCTATTATTCTCTTTCACCCTGAGCATTCTGTACAGCAGAAACCAAACCAATACCTATTTCAATCTAAAGGCAACAACCAGAATCGTTCGTTTCATAACCCACTTCCAACGCTTGCAAGCTGAATTTATCAGGATACTTCTCCACCATAATAACCCATATTATTTTGGAAGCAATGCTGATGGAAAAAGAAAACAGAAGGGAAAAAAGGGTATATGAAAGTCATAGTGCCTTAATTTACAACTTAGGTTAGATGAAAACCAAGAGCCCCATCTAGGGGTTACTGTGACTTCTAACATATTTGGATACTCAGGACAAGGAAGAGAAATGGGTTTTAGGGTTTGTATTTTTTAGTTTGAGTTACTCCAGTTGGAATTTAACCTTGACTACAATATCAACAGGAAAAGCACAGCTTAAAATAAAAAGACTGATGCAAAAAGCTGTATTAGACTTAAGATGAAATCTACTTACAGTAGGACTTGAGCACGAAAAGGTGGGCAGTTAGGCCTAGAGACGTATATACAATGAAATGATATGGCAAAGTCTTCAAATGCTTAGTTATTTATAATGAAATCTATACAAAACAGTTAAAAACGTGGGTTTATATACATTTGGAACAAAAAAAGTATTGTCTTGATTACCAGAATGTATTAAAACTGGTTGTCTTGTCCCATCAGAACCCAAACCTCTCTCTGTGGCTTGTAACTATCACAAAACCCCAAAGTATTGCTTCAACAAGCCAAGGCATAAGGCTGATTTTGGAATCCAACCACTGTTAAAGCCACTTAAGCTTTTAAACTCCCCAAATATTCAACTTGAAAAACAGCATGTAAGAGTAAAATACACATCTTTACAAGCCTTAGCTCACTTGGAAGTTCAACTTGGAAAGATGTTGAACCATTTATCCCCAATTTTGAACATAGCAGAAGACACTCCCTCACCCCCTCCCTGGTTTGAATAAGCATCAACACAACTACCTGCTTCACAGGAGCTCCGTCAACAACTTGGCCTCACTTGAAATTTTATATTTGAATAAATAAGCAAAGCTTAACTAGAGGTAAATGAGCATTTTTGTGTGCTTATGGCACATGGAAATGCCTCATAGATCACTACCCTATTTGTAAAGCATGAAAACAGAAATTCACTAGCAAATCCACTTTGCTACCAGTTAGGGATTTTGCTTCTTTCCAAACATTCACAGTCAAAACCCAAATCAACCTATATTTTTAGGCTTATGAAAAAAAATCTTAACTCTAAGCGAGGAGTGCAAGAAACTAACCAATTCCAAATTCCTGGGGCTTTTTCAGCACTGTCAGAGCCACATTTTCTCTCACATGCTATTTGAAAATACAAATACTTCTTAAATGTTCTGTGTGTTTTGATGGTGTCTTGCTCACCAGCTAACACAAAGCCACAGCAAAGGATCCCTTTTCACTGCAAACTGTTTCAGGATCTGGGTAAGGGCTTCAAGAGCACGAGCTGGAGGTTTGTTTGTTACCAGGAGTACATTCCGCTGTCACAGGTTCACTAAATCTTGGCAACTACATCTTTTCTTCTTTTTTTTTTTGGAAACAATTAAGATGCAGCTTCTGCAATACTGTCTTGTTAAAACACACTGATGCTTCAAGGCTCCAATGAACAACTCTAATAGGCAAAATGCTCTAAGACATCACAATTAAAGGGCATCTTGGCTACTCAAAAAGCCCAAGATAATTTTAAAGTGCACTCCAGTGTCCAGTGACCTTAGGATTGGTCAGCAGAACTCTGAGAGGGGCTTTGCTCAGTGCCATCCTCAGTGCTACTGTCCACATCTTGCTCCATTGCCGTCTCCTCCTCATCGAGGCGCTGACTGGTGAAGTTGTTGAGTTCCAGGAGCCCACTGGGTTCCACTACCACGTTGGAGCTGGAGTGACAAGGGATGGAATAGTGAGGGATAGTCTGAAAGAAAGAAAAAATATCAGTTTTAACCAACAGTTTGCACAGGTAAAGGCATCTGCACAAGGGGAAAAGGGATGTTTGGCTGACAAGGGCGATTTTCCCTAGCCAAGGCCTGTAGCATGTGATGTTAGGTTAGCCAAGGCTTCAAAGCACCTTTGGCATGTTAAAGGTAACATTTGAATAGTCTTGGCTCTTGAGGCACTGATCTTGGCCTTTGATCTTCCCTACAGGGCTGTGACAGCATAACCAACGGCTAAACCACCAATGCCCATCATCCACCATTCCTCAAAGGCAAAGCAGAGGGAGTATTCCCTTCAGCCCTATCTTTCTCAGGCATGACATTCAGATGTAAAAACATCCTGAGTTGGAAGGGACTCACAAGGATTATGGAGTCAACTCCAGGCCCTGCACAGGACAACCCCAAAAATCCCACCATGTGTCTGAGGGCATTGTCCAAGCACTCTGAGAGGACTAGCTGTGTTTTTTGTATGCAATACAATACCTGCTCAGAGCTGCAGCAGTACAGAGGTTGAGGAAACACAAGTTATTCCTTGCTAAGGTATTATTATTATTATATCTAAGTTATTTATTATTATTTATATGTTCATAGGCTCTAGAAGCTAAAACTACAGCTTTATACAACTGAAATTCTGAGCAGCATTTGACTTTGGAAAAAGCTCTTAGCACGCCACAATGACAAACAATAGAGATTCCCAAAATACACAGATTTGGAGGAAAACAGAGCTCTACCTTTGTCTATTTAGGGAAAGGAGGGCTAAAAATGAGTACAAAAGTGACAATTTGTACAAAAGTGAAGTCAGCTGCAGCAAGGACTTTACAGAAAGGAGCATGAAAAATGTGAAACCTCTGTACACAAATTGTTTCCCACAGCAGAAGCACTTGCACTGGAACACAAATATGATACATAATCAAACCATTTCAATCCATGCTACCATTTGTATGAACACATTCCATACCAACTTGTCTACACATCATGAGTCCTTGGAAGACTTAAGCACCTCCTCAGGTGATGTTCCAACCACTTACGACAACATAAAACATCATATTTAAGACAGCAAAAATCACTGAAAATATTAATCCCCAGTTAGGCAATGACTCAAAGATCACTAACCATTTCATCTCAGAATGGTAAGTCTGGTTCTAAGTGAAGTCAAAAAGCTTTCAGCTGAATTCAGACCTTATTTGCTCAACTTCCCCAGTAAGTACAACCCCATTATGAAATTTTTTTCACCAGTTTTATACTCAGAGGTAACATTAACAGATATTATGAAAGACCCTAGAATGTAGTTCCACACTAAGTGTTGAAGGCCACATTTGCTGAACTTCCCCAGTAAGTACAACCTCACTATGTCATATTTTGCACCAGTTTTATACTCAGAGGTAACCTGAGGATTCTAGAATATAGTTCCACACAAAGTGTTGAAGGCCACATTTTTAAGCATTTCAAATAAAAGTACTGTGTAAAATGAGATGAGTTTGGTTGTTTTCTTAACAGAAAAAGGAAGACACTGAAGACAAAGTGAAGAATGCAGTGTTAGAGAAACTTGAGAATGACAAACTTCAAAGAAGTAATCAACTACAAGTGTAAGAGCAGAAAAAGAACTAAAACCTGGGGAATAAACCCAAAAATACTCAAACACAGTTCAGTTGCTATCAGCATGTTAGACATGAGTTTGCTCTGCTCAACCTTTGCCTTACTTGCTGTGCTCTTCTCTTACCTGGACAACAATGTCTGATGAGCTCTCTTCAGCTTTCTTTTGGGATAGATTCTGAATGTGTATAAACTGGTTTGTTGTAGGCATTCCTTGTGCATCGAGTTTCCTCTCTGGTAAAGCAGGCCCAAGAGCAGGAGGACTTGAGCTGGATGTCTGTTGCTGAGGGCTGGAAGTTGTCGTCATCCCTACTGCAGCCACCTGGGCCCGAGGTGAGGCCTCTGCTCCGCTACCGACTTTACTAGTGGACGTGGCCTTGTCTGGGGGATCCACTATGGTATGTTCTATGTTTGTATCAATCTGAGCTTCCACCATAGACACTCTCAAAATATCTGCTACTGCTGCCTCCGTGGATGCCTGCATGGGAAATAGGCTGGTAACTGGCAATGCCAGTTTGGGCACAGCACTGCCACCTGCTACCTTTGAACCCAAAGGAGGGTGAGGGCCCTCAAAGGTTATCTTTGTGACAGTGGATCCTTGGGTTAGAATTGGCTGTTGCACCTGAAAATCAAATTTTTTTGTTGTGCATATTACAGTTATGTTACTCCAAACCTAATCAATATTTCCAAGGACAGTATGGCACAAACAACATATTTGCTATTATTAGGAAGACAGTTGCAACTCAGTGGTTTAACAAAGGAATTAACAATGATTATGGCAACAGTTAATTGAAGCCTGGGGAAAAGCAGCTTTTTAGGCTGCTAGAGAAGGATTGTAGCAGTATAGTAACACAGCAGCCTCATTTTCCTTTGGGATTTACAGCCCCATGGATAGGCTAAAGCTTCTAGTTTCCACATGTATTCCTGAAAGGGCCAAAAAAAATAATTGTACTTTTCTGGAGTTAGTTAAATGACATTTTTCCCTCCCAAGGAATATCCAATTAGCCCTGTACATGAAAGCCATAGAACATCAAGAAGACGTAAACTACAAAAGAAGAGGTATAATGGAGTGCCTTATGAGACTGCAGTGTATTCACCTTTATTTCCACAGAAGTGGAAGGGAACAGCAATTAATAATGTGTTATATCTCAAACTTAAAAGGTAACAACTAGGGACAAATTCCATGCACCAGAGTGGCAGAAATTCATACAAACTGTCTAACAAAACACATTTTGTGAGCTCTATGGATTTTTTTTTTCCCCTAGAACATGTGCTTTCTCACTCCTAGTGTCAACCTTCTGATGGGGGAATTAATACCAGCGGAAGGAGGAGTTCTCTCTTGCCAGGCCAAAACACTGCTACAGCAACAGGGTTGGTGTTTTGAGAAGGATTTTTTTTGCCTTGAACAGCAAGGTGTATTGTGCATGCTATCAATATTCAGTTACCTGGCTTGCTGGCTGTTTCTCTGAAGAGGCAGGTAGCTGCATTTGACTCTGGGGGGGTTGGGGTTGCACGTAGATTTTTTGTGCCGTTGGTGCCTGTTGCAGTTTGGGCAGCTGCTGAGTGGTTTTTACTGCCAACACCTGTACTACAGTTTGCTGTGGCTGTGCCACTAAGGTAGGGAGTTGCCTTTCTTTGGCCATCATGTGATGTGGGGGGTGCTGTGCATCTGGTTTGGTCTGTGCTTGCTCTTGCTGCAGGGGGGTTAGTTTTTGATGCCTTATAGAAAGTTGGGGCATTTGTGGGAGTTTGTGCTGGATTTGATCAGCCTGCAGGTGGATTGTCTGCTTCTGCTTAGTCTGGAAACACTGCAGGGTTTTCACTTGCACTTGAGTCTGTTCCAGCTGGGGCTGAGTCAGTTTTTGCTGTTTTTGTGCCTGGGATTGTGTCAGGGCAGATCTGTAAAACAGGCCAGTCTGAGGGTCTAAGGTGTCCATCTCTTCCACTTCTCCTTCCTCAGTTCCAAGTTGTTCACTGTGTTTGGTAAATGCAGTGTGACTGCTTAAGGCCTTAAGAAAAAGAAGTTAGAGCAAGTCAGTAAAGAGAAACATAAGACTACACAATATAAAAATAGTTTTTCATGTTTCAACTGGACTATAACTTATTTTACCATTATAGACTCCCACTTCATGTATAAAAACACCCTTACATGGAGATTCCACCATACATAAGCAATCAGTAACTATTTTTATCATGTTAAAAAACATGGTACATCTCTACATGACAACTGCATAACTAATACTCAGTGTGACTATGTAGCCCTCAGGAGTCTTAGGCTGAGGCTCCCCAAGGTTGTCTGGCAGTTGGGCTTGAAGCAGCAGGGTGGAGAAGGTGGCTGAATTCCTCATTAAAGCCAGTCTCTCCTGCACAATAAATCATTATTCTGCCTCTGGAAAGCCTAGCCACCTCCTCTGTGATTTCTATAGCATGTGCCATATACCTACAGTCCATTCTATTGCAGCAGAGATCTCTCTTCTCTTTCCTCCCTTCCTCAAGATTTTATTGCAGTTTTTCTTCAGCATTGCACAAACACTGTTTGATTTTTTTTGAGGGATGTGAGGGAGCAAGTGATCTATATTACATTTATAGCATGGTATACAAAGTGTAGTATTAACAAATGGCCTTACAAGATGAAGCAGCCTACTCCACCTGTGAAAATACACTCCCTGATGTGGGTTTATGACCCTAACACAGTCCTGTTCTGGAACACAGCTTAAGTTAAAGCATTGCAGAGTTGAATGGGTCTTCATAAACACACTGGAGTGGCTTCAGTAAGATTTCACCACCAGCTACATTGTTTATTTCAAGTGTTTAGGATCCAAGTATATATAATCTCACTTTTCAATTCAGAGAAGTTTACCTATTCACAAACTACATCCCTCAAAGGAAAAGTCACTGTGAGCTCTGTGCACTGACCAGATTCTGCTTCATCTCTCTTCCCCCTACACTATCACCAACATAATCTAAAGAGCCCTTGCAATGCAACAACCACTCTCACCATCAACACACAATCACAGGATGGTTTGGGTTAGAAGGTACCTTAAAGCTCATCCAGTTCCACCTCCTGCCATGGGCAGGGACACCTTCCACTAGTCCAGATTGTCCCCAACCTGGCCTTGAACACTTCTAGGGATGGGGCAGCCACAGCTTCTCAGGGCAACTTGTGCCAGTGCCTCACCACCCTTATAGTAAAAAACTTCTTCCCAGTATCTAATCTACACCTGCTCTCCTTCAGCTAAAAGCCATTAAGGTACTACTAATTTGCCCTTACACTGACCATTTTCAGTAGCAGCAACATGACACATTCATTCAGAACAAGCCCTGGTCCTGTATAATTTATTTAACCTACTGCTGTTTATAGACTGCTGGGAAAAGAAAGGTACAACCTGCTGCATGATATGGGTAATGGCTCCTGTGGAGGATGCAGGAATAGATTTCACCACAACAGAAGTCTGTGTTGCTGTCTGTGACTGCGCCACGTGCTGCAGCAGAGTCCTCTGGGGCTGAGCTGACTGCTGGGGCTGGGCCCGGTGGCTCACTGAAAGGAAAGAGGTCAGTGGCACTTCTCCACAGCTAACTGCAGCAACTTTAACTCTTTGCTTTGCAGTTAAGCTTCAACTGAAAGCACATGTGAGTGAAATAAAGATCTGAATATGAAAAATGTCTTTGCCTGTCGCTTCAACCTTACAGTGCAGCCTCTTAAAGCAGCAGCTCAGTGGTTTGGCTTTTGTCTCTGTCTCCTGAGTAACCACACTTGGTCCAAACCTCTTCTGTCCTCCCTCTCCCCACACACCAACTCTGCAAGCAGAGTTATACCTGATTTTCAGCTGAGTGCTTCCTACTGCACCAGAATAACACTGCAGAGTACAAGTTATTCTGTAGTTCTCACACCTCCAGAATTGACTGCAATTAAGAACAGCAAACTTGAACCCTGAATTTCTACCCCTGATAAACTGTACAAAATACTCTCCACAGCACAGGGCAAATCTGAAAGATCAGCAAGTAGAAAGTATTTGGGTATTATTATGAAACCAAGAGAGGCTGATCAGGAATGATAGATCAGAAACTGGAGACCTTGTCATGGATCTATGTCACTTTGGAGAACAGATCCAGGAGTTAGAGCTATGGTGATACTCTGTAATTAAACAGTGGATTGACAGCAAATTAATGTGCTGCTGAGAAAATAAACCCCCAACGAACCATTCTATATTGCAGTCACTGACAAGATATGAATCCAGATTACTTTATGCCTGTCCAAACATTTGCTTTAAATCATTTTTTAGTCACAAAATATTTAATAACTGAAGCAGAACAAGCAAAGTTCTAACAAAGTTGAAGAGTTTCTAGTGACCTTCTTAATGTTAAAAGGTCATGTTTTGCATGAATATGCTAAATTTACTTTCTCACTCCAAGAAAGGAGTTGGATGATACCACTCCTGGCCTGCATGCTGTGCCAGATTCCTCCTGGATATCTCCCAACAGTTCCTACACAATGGAAAACTTAATTGAAAAAGAAATTTTCTAACCTATGTGGTTGTGGAGATATTCTTCCGAATGGGACCCAATACAGTGTTGTCTTCCTGAGTCTGCAGACAGACAAAACATGGTGACACCAAGAGGTGTGAATTGGTCCCTTCACCTCCTGAGGAAGCACATGCTGAATCCCAACTCCCATAGACATTCAAACAGGCCTAATCCTGTGGTCTAGGAGATTTCACAAGACTCCTTCCTGTCTTACTGCTGAATTTTAGCAGAAAACAGAGCTCTGTGTGATACTGATAAACCAGACAAACACAAATTAAAGCAAAACCAAACACTCAATTACTTTTACTCACAGGATCACAGAATCAGTCAGGTTGGAAGGGACCACAGTGAGTCATGTGGTCCAACCTCCCTGGCTCAAGCAGGACCATTCTAGAGAACAAATTCCCTGGCAGCATTCACAGATATTGGGGAAAGGACAAAAATCTAAGAGCAAAATAACCAGTTTTGTGCTGCAGCAGTGAACCTGCACCCACAGGAGCCTGAAATTCCCTGCTAGATTCCCGTATTTCAACCCAATGTTTTCAAAAATCCCCATATTTTATATAATAACATTATCTCCAGGGAATTATCAGCTTTTGCACTCCATATGACTTCTAAGTTGCAGGAAAGGACTTAAGCCAACAAAGACACTGACCATGATTTCCATCCTCCCTGCAAAAGGGCTTACTGTACCTCAACTTTCCCAGCAAGACCCATGAAACACCGGAACACCGGGCAGGAGCTCAATGCTCTGTGCCAGTGAAGATAACTGACTGCTAATTGGAGAGCACTTCAACATTATTTATTGTACTCTGGAGTTTGTTTTAAAGGAGATCCAAGGGAACAGGACTCAAACATTCAGAACTGAAGCCAGATACAGTAAGTGTTAGCTAAAAAATAACAGTAACATCCCCCCAGCTCCAATCTCAGACAAATTTAGGCCATACGATGGATGGAAGTGAGGGGAGGAGGTGCAGAGCCAAATGAAAATATTAGCTTAGACATTTAGCACGAAATGAGACAAGGGAGACTTACATGAAATGGGTGTCCAAATAGGAGTCAAGGGCTCAAAAAGTGCTGAATTCCAACCATTATTTGAATCACTTATTTATTATAAAAGGGCAATTGACCTTTTATAGCAAGCTTCCTAGCAAATTAAACTGGGGAGCACATTAGCATGTTAAATGCACCCCTGACTAACTCAGGACTAAATGAGGTTTAACTAGCTCGATGTCTGACTCCTCTTGATATGTACAAAAACCATGGTACAGTTCCTGTAACTTCATTTTCTACTCTTCCCTTACTAGACATTTTCCTCTAAGACAAGTGGGACAGTGTCTTCTCCATGCAGGGAACAGAAAATCTATTCAAACAGGTTGTCTTGAAGCAACAACTCTTTGTTTCAGTTAGAAACATTTCCCTCTATGCCCCAGCAAATCAACCTCTGTTGCCTCACAGGGTCTCAAGAGTGGAAGAAAAGACTCATTTCCTCTACAGAAAATTAGAGTGATAACACAAAAGTAAGAAAAAGTCCAAATGATGTCCTCAGACTTCCAACTGCAGACCCCCATTACACTGCCTTGGGCACTTACCAGTTGTGATGTATTCAGCCACTAATTCTGACTCTACGACAGCAATTGAAGGACTTTCTGGTGAATGTCTCTTCTCCTGAGTCATCTGGATTGGGACAGCCATTTGGCTCAAGTCGATGGTTGGCTGCCTTGGCTTTGATTCTAACTTTTCCTTCACTGCATTAGAAGAAAAGAGAAGCATAAAATAAACCTCTAGCATCTAAACCTCCATAAGAAAATAAGCCTCCAATATAAATGCATAAGTTTAAATAAATAGTGAAACTATCATAGATTCAATGTGTTACCAGGATAAGAAGGAATCAAGTTGACTGAAGACAGGCATTTTTCAATCAGAAAACTTATTATAAAGTGCTGCTTAAACCAAAAATAACCTTTGAAGTCATCCTGAACAATCTCATGGTTTGTCAGACCTGTTGTCTGCTGAAGTTCCAGCAAAGCTTTTATGGTGGAAGTAGCTGACTGAGATTCACTGGATACATCCTGGTAAATGATTGTAGGGCTTGTGTCCACAGCAATTTCATGCTCTGACCAATCTTGACTTCTTGAGGCAATCACATGGACTACAGGCTGAGAATCTGTTTGCAAAAGAGCAAAGGCACATCATAGAATCATGGAACAGGTTGGCTGGAAGGTACCTTAAAGGTCATCTCATTCCAACCCCCTGCCATGGGCCCAGACACTTTCCATGGGACCAGGTTGTTCCAAACCCCATCCAACCTGGCCCTGAACACCTCCAGGGATGGGGCAGCCACAGCTGCTCTGGGCAACCTGTGCCAGTGCCTCACCACCCCCACAGGGAACAATTTCTTCCAAAAAATACCTGTGCCAGTTCAAGTCATCATAGAACCATTCTGAACTGAAGGTATCTGGTCCAACTCCTTGATTTAAAGCAGAGCTATATTCCAAAATTACACCTTTACTAAACAATTATATCATTTTATATATATTATATATTCTGAGTTTTGAACACTGCCAAGGATGTATAACTCTCATTCTGCAACACTTCAGTTTTTATTACAGTTGACTTTTGAGGTAAAACACTGTTGATGTTATGAACAGCTTCCTATAGCTTAGTTCTTTATGAAAGATTTGGTTTGAATGACAGTCAAAGTTCAGAAGGTTCCTTTGCATGTTGAATTTGCCTTGAACCTTTTTTCCCCACAAGCTTTTAGCAGTTCAGGTAATAAATGTGTATTCAGCATTCTGAATTAACAGCTCCTCAATTATGTGAAGTTTGTTGAATCCTCCAAACTTCTTTTAATTTACTTTAAATGGCAACATAGACCAACAGTTTCAGAATTATACAGAAAAGGTACAAAGGTTTCAGAGACATTTATTTCCTGCAGTGATGCATCCTATGATCACTCCCAGCCACAGGGAGTGTTGTTTATGCCTCAATTCCACACAAAGAACTGCATCTCTTATTACTGTATGCAACTTCCGTGTGAGGGGAAGTAGAGAGAAAACACTGATCTCTTCTCTCTGGCAACCACTGATAGGACCTGAGGGAATGGCCTGAAGTTGTGTCAGGGGAGGTTTAGGTTGAATATTAAAGCAAAGGTTCTTCCCCCAGAGGGTGGTTGGGCACTGGAACAGCTCCCCAGGGCAGTGGTCATGGTCCCAAGACTGACAGAGGTCAAGGAGCGTTTGGAGAACACTCTCAGGCATGTGGCAGGATTGCTGGGATGTCCTGTTCAGGAACAGGAGCTGGACTCTATCCTTGTGGGTCCCTTCCAATTCTGTGATCTGTATCACGGCTTGAAGCCACAGAAGCATTTCCCTCAGTACTGCATGTCTGATAAATGTCCTGCTGCACATATACGTGCCTTTAAAAGGACCAAAATTTGTCTTGGCCCCATGACAGCTTTCAGTCATGCAGCAGAGATGCTTCAATACAGTCAGGAAAGATGGTGGCTGAGCACAGACTGCCAAAAAAACCACCCCAAAACCTGCTACACTGCCAACCTCTGGCAGACTCCCACAAAAGAGGGGACAAGCTGCATTGTAACTGCAAGCTGAGGTCTAGCAAGAAATCATCATCTCCACTTTTCACACAGGAAATGGAGACATATAATAATGGCACTTCAGATTGGGTGAAAACCTGTGCAAAAAGGAGCCACAGTGAGTTATCTGAACTCAGTATGCATGGGGAACAGTCTATTTGTGGTTTATGTGACACTGACACAGACCTTGAGAGCTCTGGGAGGACTCTGTAGAAGAAGAGCTGCTGTCAGTGTAGGTTTGTGGTTCTTCTTTCACTTCTGGGAGAGCAGAGTTTCCTGTCTCTGCCACCCTTGATGCCTGCTGCAAGGTTTCAGTCACCAACTGCCTGGTTTGTTCACTCACAACTGTGGCTTGAAATGTGACTGGCTTTGGTTTTATGAGGACCTAATTGGAAAGAGAAATTTAAGGTATAGTTAGAGCACTCAAGAAAACAGACCTGAGCAAGCAAAGTACAGGATACAATTGGAATAGGTCTATGTATATCAGCTAGATTATATTCATATTTTACTTAAAACTATAAATTCAGCAGCTCTGATTATTAAACCACAAAACCCAAGTAAATGGCAACGCACAAGAATGTACTTCTCCCTCAGTAATCTGAAGTACTTAACACCATAAACCACTGAACTGTTGTTCTTCAGGCCTGGATACAATTATGGTGTGGTAAGAGAAAGCTATGCAAGTGAGCTGGAACATGCACTGCATTGGTAAGGACAAGCACCTCCACATCAAATACAGTCTTGAACAATCAAGACACGCAAAATGTTACATCTGGTAGAAGTTTAGTTCTTTGAAATCTTTAGTGTAGCCAGAGACAAAGCTGAAACTGCAAGCACCCAGAAATAAGGCAGATTGCCTGCATACAGCCCCACCAACTACGGGGACAATCTGAACAGACATTAAGCAGACAATAAACTTCAATAAAACCTCACGTTTGATGGATGACTTATGTCCACACTCCGTCTTCATTTCTCATGATCTAACATTAGCCAGAAGACTTAAACAGGCATCTAGAGCCATGCCCAGACAGTTTCAGCTAAGGAAAAGGCTTAGTCAATCTTTTTGGCTTCCTAGAGGCCTCCAGAAACAGCTAACAAAGGCAAACACTGTGTTCACAAAAATCAGTCAGGGCCACCTCATTACACCACTAAGTCTCATTCCCCATAGACACATCAATCCTGCAACAAATGTGGCAACACAGTGACAAATCATTGAATCCCATGAAATTTTGGGGTACATTTCAAGACAGAAATGGGTCCTCACTGTACCTGTGTTTTCCCTTGCTGCCCATAAACAATTTTAGTTGGGATGATTTTGGTGGCTGGCTGGACCGTGGACCCTATTCCTTTTGGCTGTGTAACAATCATTTTTGTGATGGGTCTTGTGGCAGTGATGATAGCAGGTTTTGCTCCTGCTGGCACTGCCTGAATAGTTTTCTCCCCCTGTAGAGAAGTCAAAGTTTACAGGTTAACTTAGTGGAATTGCTCAGTGAGACCCACTTGTCTGAAAAAATACAGTTAGAGTAAGTGTGTGTACCATGAAACAAATCTGCTGCAATGCCTTATTTGATAGAAAACCCATTAGAAGAACCTCTGGCTTTGAATGGCAAAAGCTACCAAATTTTCCATTCCTTTACCTTTTGAGCAGCTCTGAGGGGGCGAATAAAAAGGAGTAACCGAAAGACACTGACAAGTTGCTTCAAAGAATTATGTAAATTGAAACTTCTCTCAAATCCTTCCCCAATGTTTTTCAAAACCTCTTCATTTCTATTAACTTATCACTTCTATTAGCATTTTCATTTAATTTCTGTTACTGAAACATCTACAGAACTTGACGTGAGATTCTAAAAAGAAATCATTTAAATAGAGATTTTTTTTTGTATTATCCTCAGGACCAAGACATTAATTACATATGAAATTTTTAAAAATAAAAGATCATTTCATAATAAAATGCACATTCACAGCTATTCACAGGAATTATTTGACAGTGCTGATATATGAGTATATGACATCCTGATAACTTAAGAGCAGCAAAGACACTGAATAAGCTTTTTTTTAAGCTCTGCAGAGTAACAAACAAAATGAGTAACAACATCCACTGCCAGTTCCCCCAGTATTCCTCCCAATGTCCACCAAACAGCTGGAAGAATATCAGCCCATTCTGGTAACTCCTGTTGTCATCACAGGATTTCCACTTGTCTGAACAAACATCTTTAAGTTTTGAAACCTAAGAAAGTTTAAAATCTACCCAAAAATTCCTCAAAGGTTCGCAAAAACCCCTCCGTAATTCTGACTTGGAATTTTACATGGATAAGGCATTAAATCTCACAGTTCTGTTTGGAACACTCATCATTTTTATTTACTAGTACTTATAGATGAACTCAGCTGATGCTGGAAACTTGATTTTATTAGTCCACATCAGGTAGTCCAAAAAATAATTCAACAGCATGTTGATGTGAAAGTGTTACACAGCATAGAAACTGAGAGGGGAATAAACTGTGAAGACAGTGGATTTCTGCCCCTTGCATCCAAAAGATGAATGGTTGGAGATGCAGGTTTTTAATACAGGACCCTAGTTCTCTCTCTAGAGCACAAAGGGGGTGAGATTTCATCTACTAAATCACTTCAGGATTACAGAAACATTAACTACAAAAAAAAAAAAGCTCACAAGTTTCTATTAACTATTTTCTTTAGCTCTGAGAACATTTCCAGTTTGCTTCAAGCACAGAATCACATCCTACAAACCACAGCTGCTTTTCCCTGACCTTGAGGCATGCTGGATCTGTTAAGGAACTCATGCACAGTTTGCTTTTAATAGAGCCTTCAAGCAGGATGAATGCAGCAGCCATCACACAGCTCTCACTTGGCTCTTGATCTGAGACTTGAATCTCTCACTTACCCCAGCGTTCAGCAGAGTTGTGACAACATTTTTGCCTGGAAGCCCTTGGATTGTAGTTCCTTTTCCAGTAGTCTTTTGCACGACAATCACATTGGGTTTGGATGTCATTGGAATTGTAGTGATTTTGGTTGTAGTTCCTAGATTTTTGTGGGAAAAGAAATAATGAGCAGTTTATCACATGAGATATATTTCTTTTCAGTGTAGAGCTCTAGAGGAATTGTGTTGAAATCTGACAACACAACTCCAGCAGCAGCTGGAATGGGAATTCATGTCACCCAAATCAACACAGAAAGATTAGATGCCAACTGCATAAATCTTTCACCTACAGTAAACAGGTGTGCCCAGGTGAACAAAATTTGTTCTATTAGGCCACAAATCAGAGCAGAGTAACACAGCTCTCTCTCAGGCTACCAGGTACAATTTAAATGCTGGAGTTAGCAGGGGATAAGGACACCACAAACTCAAGGTTCTATTTGCACTGGCAAATATACTACAGATGACTTCTGCAGAAGAATCTCTGTACCAAGGATGTATACCCAGTCAAGAGAACCACCAGCTCTTTTCAATACTGAAATGTTCTAAGTGATGAATGGTGGATTGAAACACGGCAAAAATATGCTGCTGTTTTACAACCAGTTCTTAAAAGTTAAGTTTAGAAGCGTGGGGTGTTTTTTTTTTTTGTGAAGAGCTGTCTTGGATATTTGTGTTCCTCTCTCAGTATTGAATCAGTTCCATTCTCTGTATCAGTTTTATTTACCTGCAGTGACAGGTAACTCAGTCAGCCCACCACAGTCTACACAGGAGTACACACATTGTTATCAGTCATCAGTGTTATCAGACTGACACTGCAGTATCTACTCATACAGCTTTTTAGCAATTATTCCTACTGACTCCTTGAGCTCAGTCACAGCAGAGTTGCAACATCAAGGATTTCTCTCACTACCTTCTACTTATTAGCTGTACCTGTAGATACTACCTCATATTTCAGATTAACAATTCTACTAATACTGGGGAAGGGAAGACACGCTGAGGGAAGACCATGATATATTTTATCCTAGTGACTTCAGAGGCATCTCAAGACTGCTCCTTAGCAAGAAACTCAAAGAAACCAAAAGAAAAAACAGGTTTTTCTTCCAAACTTGTGTTGTTTCAGGACAACGACTATTAAGACAAGGAATAAGGGGTATAAACTGAAGAAGAGGGGAAATTTAGATTAGATATTGGAAATAAATTCTTTACTGTCAGGGTGGTTAAGACACTGGCACAGGTTGCCCGGAGAGGCTGTGGCTGCCCCAACCCTGGCAGTGTTCAAGGCCAGGTTAGATAAAGCCTTGAGCAGCCTGCTCTGGTGGGAGGTGTCCCTGCCCAGGGCAGGGGGTTGGGGCTGGATGATCTTTAAAGTCCATTCTAACTCCTTAACATTCTATGATTATCCTTATCAAGATCAGCCACAGGTTCCCCCACATTAGCTGGTGGTCAGGAGAATGATACTTGCAATTGTGTACAAATCCACTAGTAGACCTGAAAATCATCTTCACAACTCATCACATCCACAACAGTCTAATAAAAGCTCCATGTTCCCAAATTGCTCTGTCAGCCCTAAATATAACTTTACATAAATGAAGATCTGAAAAACTGAGGTACTTCTACCAGATTATCCAGTAAACCCAGTCTGGTCTGTAGTTTATGCACATCTTGCAGTGAGCAGAGCTGGATGGTGCCATGTCAGGTCTTTGTCAAGCAAACTGAAAGTCCAAAACATACACTAAGAAATTGTTACTGGTATAAGTGGCTGGTGCTGGTCCTTAAGAGACCCTGTCCTTAGAGGCCAACACTGCCTAGTTCCAGTCCCCTGCCATGGGCAGGGACACCTTCCACTACTTTGGTTGCTCCAAGCCCCATCCAACCTGGCCTGGAACACTTCCAGGGATGGGGCAGCCATAGCTTCTCTGGACAAACTGTGCCAGTGTCTCACCACCCTCACAGTCAGCAGGGAGAGTGAGGCTGGTCAGAAGATTAGCAAAGAGAAGCAGCATGAGGCTGGTAGGGAATCCTTAAGTTTGAACATGGGGTTAAGGGAAAGACGGGCTGACACTGCTAAAATAACAATGTAAGGTGGAAACTGCACAGCTGAATTTCATATCCATTTTTATTCTGGTTCTTTGGACATTCAGTGGAAGAGAAAAGGGCACCACCCAGACTAAAAAATGTTTTAAATTTGGGCCAATGGTGTTACCTGATCATTCTGCTCTCTGGACAGTACAGTGGTCCCCATCTCACATTCCTCTTTTCCTCTCAGGCTTCCCTCACAGCTGATGTTTCCTTCTTAAACACATGAACTACTGCAATCCTTAAGAACACTTCACCTCTATAACTTCTACCTATTACTTCCTTCTTAATTTGTTTTTCTCTTGAATGAACTCCTTCCCCAAAGGTCCCAATAATTATCTGAGCATGTAACCCACAGGAAAGCCCTGAACAATTAGCACAAGCCTAAAGACACTTGTGAAATAAATCTTTAAATCAAAGTACTCATATGCCTACCAGAAACAATATTACTGCTAATAATCTTCCCTCCTAGAGTAGCCAGTGATTTTGGTACTACAGTAATGATGCTCCCACTTGTAGTCTTCACATAAGTAGCAGCCCCTGGAGTTGCAGCCATCCGAGCTCCCAGGGAAGGGCTCACTGTTGGCCTGGTGTATGTGGCTTGAGTTCCTGTTTTAAAGATAAAAATAGGTTCACTGTTAGAACACGATCCTCTGTTGGTATTTGGAAAAATCAGCATCAGGTATTTTCAAATAGATCTCACACTGTAAGCTATTACCATCCTTTGTAATATCTTTTAAACCCAGAGAGTACATATCAACTTGAAACGAATTACCAAGTGTTCCATTACTGACTTAATTTTATTCATATCCTAATGACTAAGATTGTAATTTTCAATAGATGTTTAGATTCTGCTTGTCTGTTTGCCACTTACTCTCTTAAATGCCCAAAAGTTAGAAACATAGTATGTTAAGGAGTTGGAATGGACCTTAGACATCATCCAGTCCCAACCCCCTGCCCTGGGCAGGGACACCTCCTACCAGAGCAGGTTGATCAAGGCTTTAGCCAACCTGGCTTGGAACACTACCAGGGTTGGGGCATCCACAACCTCCCTGGGCAACTTGTGCTAGTGTCTCACCACCCTCACAGTAAAAACCTCACATTAAAAAAACTCTTCCTAATATCTACTCTCAATTTCCCTTAGGCATCTGATGACACTACCAGAACTCGTCCCTTCCTCTCATCAGACATTGGTCCCGCATAACAGATTGTTTGCAGAGCACCATCACCACCAACTGCTCTAAATAAGATCCTAAGAGAAAAACAAAAATTTAACAAAACAAAAATTACAATGATGATGCAATTTTATTGATTTAGCAGCACAAAAGAAACCTCCCAGCGTGGTACAAATAAGTTGGACTTGATGAGCTCTGTGGTGGAATCACCATCCCAGGAAGTGTTCAAAAGCCACGTGGATGTGGCACTTGAGACATATTTAGTGGTGAACAAGTGGTGTCAGGTTAACAGACTCTACGACCTTAGAAGGCTTTTTCAACCTTAACAATTCCATGATTCTAATATTCCCAATCAAGGCTAAAAAAATCAGGAAATAGAGTATTCTGAAAACCAGGACAAAGCTGTCTTGCAAGTTTTCCTCATACAAGTTCACAATCTGCATTAATTCTGATCTTTAACCAATTAGAAACACAAATATAATTAGATCCCCAGAAAACACTGGGAGTTTAAATTCCCATATATTGGCCTTTTTCTAAATTCACTGCAGGACTATGAGCAAGTCATGTGTCTTCAAGTCCATACACGTCAAATAGGAATGATGCTGACCTATGTAGTAGAGTGAAATCAGTGTAAATCATGCAACATAAGGTGCTACAGAAGTGCAAAGTATCTGTTTAGAAGACTTCGTTGAAAATAAACCCAGTGGGGAAGCAATGATCAGATTTCTGTGTACCAATTCAGACAGATAAGAGCACTCAGGGCCAAAATCCTGATCTAGAATAAATAACAACAGGATAGTGAATGTGCTGTTGTGCTCACTGTTCAGAAGAGAGAAGTCCATTGTTTTAACCCTACTAAACCATATCTGATCACCTGATTGTCTGGGTTTACCCTCCCTTCCCTTCTCAGAGCCATAACTTACCAGTGGGAGTAGTGACCAGTTTAGTTGTCATGATAGTCCCATTACTGCTAACCACCATAATAGGTGAATTGCTACTGCTGGGCAAGGTCGCTGTAACTGGTTTGGGAAGGATTTTACTGGGTTGCACCTGTTGAGTGATTATTTTAACACCTAGGAAAGGAGAAAGGTCACTGTTAAAATACAGGCACGAGAAGTTACTTGCTGAAATGCTTTCTCAGACCATGGCCTAGTGGGTAAGTAGACCCACAAGGCTTCAATTCTGAGCCAATAAATTCTTGATTCTGAAAAAAAGGATTTAATTTGTTTGGGTTGTTTATTTTTTGTTCGAGTTTGTGGTTTGTTCTGGTTGCCTTTTTTTTTTTTTTTTTCAAATACCAGGTCAGTCATCATTGTTGCTTTTCATGTGCCTGTTTAAATTCCTAGCTACTCCCACTGAGGCAGAGGATCCCATGCCATCATTGATTTTCTGTCATTTTTAACTTTCCCTGGTCCATGATTTAAAAAAAAAAAAAAACCACAAAAAAACTTCACCCCAACATTTCCCAGGAATTGCAACCAAGACTGAGTTGGTTACAATAAACCACTTAAAAGTAAAATAATTCTTCACCAATTTAGTCTGTAAATTCTAATGTGCCTTAATTAGTCTAAATAAAATTCACCACCCTGAATATATTACTAAAAACTTCGTGCACAAGGAGTATTAGTGACTGCAAGGAAGCAACTGTGACAGTGGAAAACTAGGGAAGGTTACTCTAAACTGCTCTTTTTGCTCTTGATTTATTGGTTCTCTTGAAGCCACAAAGGAACGGGGCCTACACAAGCTCTGAGTAGAATCAGGAAGAACAAAGGGTGAGGGCACCTTAGTACAACAAGAATTCTGCTCCCTCTCTCTTGATTTTCTCTGGGGGAATGGGACTTCACTTCTCAGTTGCAAAACAGCAGATTCACATCATCTGTTTGAAAATACATCCAGGAGATGTGCACCTTATGTTCTGCTCCATGATGAGGTAAATGCATTGCATGAAATGCAGGCCATGAAATGCTCAGCCTGGATGAATCCCACCTAGTAGGCACCTATATTCGTACACAAATATTTCTAGGTGAACAATTCTGTTCCCCTGAGATGTGGAACATCCCCCAGAGGTGTCTTCTCCTCTCTATATTGACTGTCAAAGCAGAAGAGAGCAAGTAAGCTCCAAACCAAAATAATGAAGTTAGGTAAGAAAACTTGAAGCCTTTGCATCATCCAGACACAAAACTGGATAAAAAGCAAAAAGCCTCCACGAAAACCGATTTACATCTTGCAGAAAGAATTGGTGTCAAATGGTATTTCCAAAGAAATACTTTGAACTAAAAAACACATTGAGCCTAAACCCATGGCGAAAGCAAGGAATGAAGCTCTTATTGGTCAAATATTGTTCAGTGACTGGAAGCCTTGATTTGTCTTCATTGGTAGCTATTTTTTGATTAAGCAAAGGTCCTATAATGCAAAAGGAAGTTTTATCAAAGGGCAGGAGTAGGACTGTTTATTTTTCCATTCTCTGGTCCATTTTAATTCTTTGATCTAAATAGTAGAACTAAAAAATAATCATTTTAGTGACATGATTAAAATATTAATTTTATATGAACATACATAAAATACTTTGCACTTTTATAGCACTTCCTCTTTTAGAACTGGATAACTTTGCAAGCATTATTTACTACATCTTACTGAGGTAAGAACTGTCTGCTATAGCAGAGAAAAGCCAAGAGAAAGATTACATGACTTGCCCAAAGTCAACTGAATGAATCAATGTTACCAAAAAAGTCTAATCCAACTTCCAGATGTAATTTGTTTTGACAAGTACCTCCAAAGTAGGTTTTTAATTTCTGGACCCAAAAAAAGAGTTAAAACATGGATTAACTTCTTTTGCCAGTTGAGATAGCTGAACAGTGCTTGGATCTTCAGCAAACTAGTGTCTTCCAGGTTGCCAATCACGTTACTTTTGGAGTTATTTACACACCTCTCAACCTCTAAAGATAAAACATATATTCCTAAAGCATGGTCTGTAATACCTGAACCAAACAAGAAGAGTGAAAGAACCAAATTCTTCAATTAACATTTCAATTAACATTAAAACATCCTTCACCATCTACTTATATTCAGCTTTAAAGCCAAATCCTGTACTCAAGAAGTTAAGCCTTCATGACAGCTCCCCATGCACATTTTGGGCCAGAATTCTGCCCTACTTTCTTGAGCTGTGGTCAGACTTCATCAATCAGCAATATGACCCAAGATCAACTCCCAGCTACCTGATTCCTGTTTGATCTGAATGGTAGGCTTGATGCCAGGTGGCAACTGAGATTGCTGTGGCTGCTGCTGGGCCACAGAAGTCTGCACCAGCTGCTGTTGTTGCTGTTGTTGTTGCTGCTGCTGCTGTTGTTGTTGTTGCTGCTGTTGTTGTTGGACTTGGTGCATATGCTGTTTGGGAGACTGCTGATGCTGTTTGGGAAACTGTGCTAAGATCTGAGTTGGATTCCCAACCAAACCTTTTGGGGAAGGCAGTCTGGTAGAGGCAACTTTAATTGCCGACGTAGACACACCTGGGAAAGAGGAAATGGTTTAGGATTGAACAGTGTAACGGTGAGGGGAAAAATACCACAATTTCTAAAATAATTTTACATTTGACCTATCTTTAGTACCAAAAGATGCATAAATATGAGGAAATAAAGCTCCCATGTAGTAGAAGTGCTCTGTTAGGAAGCAAGGGAGCTTTACATGGATTAGAATCACAATCCCAGACCACTTCCTGCACCTTTTATAGTATAATTAATTCAATCATATTTTCAAAGTCTGATCTTTAAGCTTCAAAAAAGCAAAATATTAATAGTGAAAATATTTCAAATATTTATAAATACTTATAACTAAAATTTATATTATATTTATAAATATTTATAACAACCTGGTCTAGGACAAGGTGTCCCTGCCCATGGTTGAAACTAGATCATTTTAAGGTCCCTTCCAACCCAAACCATTCTGTGCTTCTAAAGTCATGATGACAAAAAGCTGGGGATAGGAGGCTGTCAAATATCAAACCCATCAATATTAGAAAGGAGTATCTGTTATTAACTAACAGCACTTAGTTATTATTTTTTTTTAAAATCAAGTAATGGTATGTAAGTTAAAAAAACTTGGAACATATATTTTGTGGTGCTGGGTTAGGTGATCTAACAAGTAATGCATTAAAAGAAGTTTGCAGTAAGATGGAAAGGCAAAGTTCCCAAAGAAATATAATTACTTATTTTTGTCATTCCCTTACCTAGTTGTCACATTTCCAGCAAAATTTGGCTTTGCATATAATTCTAAACTGCACATCCATAAGCACCAAAACATAAAACAAAGTATCTTATGAAGACAATTTTTAACTAAATCCCAGTTTAGGTGAAAAATAGAAAGAAAATCTCCTCTTATTTCTCTACATTTACAGATAATGTTAGAAATCATAATAAACAACAATTCTGGCAATTTCTGAGACCTTTTGTGGAATGGAACAAGAATGGAAAACAGGGACCAGGAGAAATTGCAATGTGACTGTTACAGCTCTCAGACAGCTTTATTTTCAAGGCCCTTTTATTCCTTCACAGCTTCCCTTCCAAATGTCAGCTGGTGGCTGTGAAGCTGAAACAACCAGGCTAGCATGCACAGCTGGAATTAGAAATCAGAAACCTAGGAATTTTAATCCAGGCCCACTCAGGCCTTAATTAGAAAGGACTTTTAAACTGACATGCTGATAAAATACACAGATAGAAAGGTGGAAACACTTCTTTGCTTTTCACAATTGTCATCTGGGTATGTTAAGCTGTATTTATTTGATGATAAAATCGCATGTTTTTGTAAATGCGGCCTTAAAGAGAAGCAATCACCTTCAAATATTGGGAATACCCATTTTCCATACATCAGGTAGAGTTCTCAAGGCCAGTCATTTTGATGCTACTATGTTTTAATGCTAGAAGCAAAATCTATCAAAACTAAAAGCTGTATCACACCACCTTACCACAGCCTCTTTACAAAGAGGATCTGCACATTAATTGTTGAAGATGAAAAGATTTCAACAAGAAGTTCTCTGGAGTCAATTGGATTAGTTCCAGCAGACTTTGCACATCTCCTGTGCTTTACAAAAACATATGTGCTCATCCATAAAGTGATGTTAAATTCAAAGTCCAATTCCTCAGTGAAAGAGCTTTTATAAATATAACGTTCTCACCATACCTTGTGCTACAGTTGACATAACCACTGAGGGTGTAGATGACACTACAGCAGTCACAGCAATGGTGTTTGCAGTGCAGGAGGGAGTGGAACAGCTGCTGCTGCTGACCACAGAGGACTGAGATGCAGTGATAACCACAGGCTGCTTTTGAGTAGTTGAGGCAATGACTGATGTTGGGACAAGTTTTGTAACTGCTGCATAGTTGTGGGACTTGGAAAGGATGTTGGGTACAAAAGTGGAGCTTGGAGAGGTGGTTACTATTATCACCTGAAAGAAGAAAAATAACAACAAAGAAATTCATTTGTTCTTTGCATTTATTTAGAAGCAGAAAATTTCAGTAATATATCTGTGTGTATTTGGTCTTAGGAACGTGTTCATTAAGACCATTTAAGAGTCTCATAATCACATTTGCTGGCAACCAAAAAGCTCATTTAGTTTGAAGAAGTATTGAGAAAGATTTCCTTAAAATCAGAAGGATTTTGGTTTTTACTATCCAATTAAAGTAGAATTCTCTCATGTCTGAAGACAAACAGGAATGCACAGTTTGACTTCATTAAAGTGGGCCAGGAAGCCTGAAACCCATTTTAAATGAACCTGGATGGATTTCCAGCAAGTTTGAAGCCCCATTTTCCCAGACCTTGCACAAATACCAAGGAAAGGCAATGAGAGAGATTAGGCTGATGTTTTTTTTTCTCTTTAGCACTTGCTGAGTCAGTAATAGAAAATATTTTTGATCCACAAGGCTGTAAATAGTATTTCATGAGTGAAAAAAATGGTTTAGATTTGAAACAATTTCTGCTTTAATTAGTGCTCTCAGTAACAAGAAATATTTTCCTATCTGCCTAAAAACCATCTGCCTTAAGAGAATAAGCATCATCTCAGTATGAGTTACAATTACAATGCCTTGAATCTGATCTGACATAGAAAAACACAGAATTCATTACAACACTGGAATAGGTCTGTTCTTATGCAACTGACCTAGAAAACTAAGCATTTATTAAGCATTGAATTTGGAGACTGTTTATGTCAAAAAATTCCTTTTATTCTACTGATAGGCACCTCCTTGTACTCACCAGTTAAAACAGAAACTCAAAGCACAAAAATACAACTTATTTTCAGTTTATCATGCAAGAATATTGATAATATTTAGTAACACAATTGTCCCAAGAAAATTTCAGTTATTAAAACCCTGAAAATTCAACCTTATTAATGATTTGATGTAACGAAAGCAGATACAAAAAAAAGGGACAGAAGGAGCAAAGAAAACCTGGGTCAGCTCAAAAAGTCTTACACTGCTACCCAAGGGCTACAGAAATAATATGATAATGGCACCATACATAGACTTAAGTGACAGATCAAGCACTAAGATATTAAGCATTTATAATTTAAAGAAAAGTAATAAAATCAAAGGAAATAACCACATGGATGAAATAAAAGCAGCAAATTTCAGCACCATGGCTGCCTCTGCCTCTCCTTTTGCCTCAGTCCTTAGTTTTCTGGTCTCTGCTACTTGGCTGAACCTTAAGATCTTCACCTGAGGAAAAACCCCAAGAGCTCCAGCACAACTGAGCAGTGTCCGAAGGACAAGGTCGCCACATTCTGCTGCTCTACCACTTTCCTGCAGTCTGCTCTTAGGCTACAACCAGCAGATGAGCTGAGCATGACACAGATGATTCTGGTGTGAGGATTGCAAGTGAAATGATGCTATGAAATGCCTTTGGAGTTCTATCCTGTTTCTTAAACAGTTAACACTAGAAATTCTTCCCAAGTGTCTGAACTTTAGACTCAGCTCCATTCCACTTAGGGTAACTGATATAGCAATACAGTCAAAGGGCATTTTGGAGTGAAAAAGGGCAGATTATAGGAATACAAACCATCCTGCAACAGGGCAAGTTCAACATCTCAACTAAGTGCACATACACAGGATGAATCTGAGCATAATCAGAACTCCTGAAGAACATCTTCGCTGTCTTCAAGGACAGAGATAAAACCATCGGTCCCAGATTATCACTTAATAACACTTCATTTAACCATGCAAGGGATTAAGCTTGTAAAGCATTGTGGTCTAAGAATAACTGCTTTACTGTGACTAAGCAGGTTTGAGGCTCTTCATTTTATTTTATTTTTCAAAATTAACACAGCAGAATAAAAGTTCAGCATCTTCATGCATGAAGTATATGCAGAACACAGAAATTTCAGGTAAAAATTTGAAAGTCTTAAAGCTCAAATCACAACAATTATATTTTTCAGACACTATTTTCTCACATATGTTGAGATGACCAAAATATTCTTACCATGGGTCCCAAAACTGCACCACATGTTCACAGCTGAGAGACTGCCTAACTTTATACAACACACACAAAAACACAAGTTGGGGTTTTTTTGTTGCTGTTGATTTTAACTGACACAGTAAAAACTAATTCCCAGCATACACTGAAATGAGTCTTGTCAGCTCTGTTTTGAGAGAATCAAAACCTAATCCCTGAAAAAATAAAGGCATTAACTGTCAGAAACTTCACCAACTGAAATCCTTCTGTGTCTTAGACAGGGGACTCTGTTACAAGAGAATCCAGAAACTGGAGCTGTGACATCATTAGTTGTTAGGACAAATCTTTCTCCAACTGACTCAAATGTCAAAACAATTCAAAATCTGGCATGCAGGGACCAACAATTTCATTCATATCCAACTACTTACACTCAGCTTGGAAATGTGCTGTTGCATAGGAGTGACCAAGCCTGACATTTACTTTCTAACTCCTGAAAGGGATTTCTCCCACTAAAATGATCCAGTTACATATTTTGGCATATCTAAACCCACAAAAGGGCAGTGTGACAGGTTCAGATGCAAACACTACTCTGGCTCTCTAACCAAACAAGCACTGATTTTCCTGTCAACGCACATTATTAAGAGTCAAATAATCCTGTGCAAAGCAAACCCTAAAATTTCCACATCAGAACAAGCAGAGGCACAACTGCAGAAAAGACACAATCAACAAACCTTTTGGAGGTTTAATACATTCAGTCTTTAACTACTGTGATATATAACACCCATATTTAACACAACCCTGCAGATACTTAAGGTAAAAAAATTCTTCCTGCATGAAAGCTGAGCCCAGCAAGCAACAGAATGGGCAGTTTAAGCCCTGTACTAGCTGTACATTTGCTGCATTGAATGCAGGAGGGTTAATTTGATGATTTATGCTTGCTCACAGATTTCTATATATTTATTCAGAGATGAGATTTGATTAAGGACAGTGTTAAAGAAGAATGAATCAAATGAAAGCATCAAGAAGTGGGGAAAGGCCAGAAAGCAACACCTTAATTCCCATTACTTCAGTTCATCTTCCGTGGTTTAAAGTTTGCAAAAATCAGGACATAGGAACTCTGCTAATCCAAGAAGAGTCCTAAAATAATCGAGACTAATAGAACAAATACCATGTGAAGGTTTGAGCTCAATAGTCAAATACAGTTGGCAAAAATGCTTGTTAGCGGCAAACCTACCATCAGCCTGTGGGTATTGAGGCCAAATTAATTCCACAGGGACACTCCCCTCCCTGAAGTCTGCTTTAATTAATAACTGTTCCAAGTATGAACTTGGTCTGAGCTATTCATCATCTTTTTACACATTAAGAACACAAAAATCAGACACATATGAAATGCATCCTGAAGCCATAGATTAGGCATGTAAAAATCTGAGTCCAATGCAAAATACAAGGAAAAACTTCTCCACACACTGCACTGTGGTGAAAGCTGGGCACACTCAGCTGAAACAATGCAACTGATTTTGACCACTGTAACACTGTTAATGTGGAATGAGAAATGGCACACTGGTGCTGAAAGCAAAATAAAGCCCCCCGAGTCTTTGATCAGCTTTGATCCCAAAATCTAGTTGCTAGATCAAAAGCTTGGCAAGGGAAAAAGTCCATGTCACCTCTCCTGGAATTCTCCTATTACAAAAGCATAATTATAGATAGGAAAAATAGAAATAAGAAAGATTACCTTTGACCAATAGTTGTTACCATCTGAAGGCTGGTCAGTGGCCTATGTGATCCAGTTCTCAGTGGACAAGTGTCCATATCACAAAACCCAACACCACAAATGGGACTAACTGGTAACCTTGTTGGCAGTCTCACCAGAGAGGCCAAGAATTGAATGAGCATGGAGACTGAATCCCCTCTCATCCCTAGAAGTGGTCCCTTCAGGTCAGGGTTGAGGCACATTGCTGGGGCAGTCTGGGGGAAGCTTGCACTCCCGCTGCCTGTGCTGGACCTGTTCTGTGGATAAAAAGAGGGCTTCAGTCTCCACAGCTGTCAATCCAGGTCCCTTCACACACAGGTGAACTAAATTCATACAAGAGTTTGCTTTGCTCTTAGTTGGTTTCAAAGAGGGATTGACTACAAGCCTTAAAAACCAGCCAGACAGTTCATAGAAAGAAATAGTCAAACATCACATGTCATTGATCAAAGCAGAATAAAGCAGCATTTGGCAGCTTCCCCCACATACCTTCTGTGTTGTGGTGTTTGTTGTCTGCGTTGAGGGCTTAGTGAAGGTTATTTTCACAGGCGACATGTGTGGTGGTAAGGAGTTGGCAATGCTCTGCATTATGTTACTCATTTTGGGGCTGCCACTTACAGGCACTGTGATAGTTTTAGTGACAGGAGCCACTGCCTTCGGAACTTCTTTCAGGAGAACAGGGGAAGAGCTTGAAGAATTTGTTCGCCGTCTTTTTCGGGGCTTTTCATCATCATCTGAGCAAGTGACACCTGGAAAAGAAGCACATCTAAGTTAGATTTCCCCTGTTTATACTTTCTAAAAACACTACACACTTGTTGAGTCTCTTTCAAACAAGATAAAAACAGTGGATAAATTACACCTCATGTAACCAACCTGTATCACACCACAGATGGTCTCAGGCCTTGATACAGGCCATACTCACAGTGCCATGAAGCAGAGACTGAAGTTTATTCTCCTGTAGCCTCCTTGGATTTCAGCCTTTGCACCTACTTTCATGCCATTCTTATCCTTACAGTACCTTTCTCCCTTTCACCTCAACACAGCACCTTGAGATCACTTTTATTTTATGATATAGTTTAACTATGAAGGTCAAACCTCACTTTACCAGCTTCTGCCTTCTTTGGCACATTTTGTGCAACAGACAGAAAACAGCACCCAACACACAGTCATGAAAAACAAGGGAAGGCCCAAAAGAGTTCATTCTTCCTCACAATCATCTACTGCACACATATAAATAAAACTGCTGCAGTATTCACCTCAGCAAAGTATAACAGAGTGATTAATGGATCTTAAATCCATATGAAACCTTCCAAAGTAGGCAACAGGTTCATAAATTGGTATAGACTACAGAAAGACACTGTTTAATAACCTTGAAAATGTCTCTCTCTACAGCTGTTGGGTAGCATTGAGGGCAGGCAGGCTCTACAGAGGTATCTGGACAGGCTGGATCCATGGGCTGAGGACAACAGGATGAGGTGCAATAAGGCCAAGTATCACATCCTGCCCTTGGGTCAGCACAGCCCCATGCAGTGCTCCAGACTGGGGACAGAGTGGGTGGAAAGCTGCTGGGTGGAAAAGGCCCTGGGGGTGCTGGTAGAGGCTGAACATGAGCACAGGTGTGCTCAGGTGGGCATGAGTACCAGCTCATCTGCAGGTGCACTTCCAAAGGCTGACAGCTGTATCCACACAAAATGGAAAACTGAAGTAAAGAAGAGAAGCAAAGTTTTTATTTTGAATTTGCTTTGAACTTCAAGACATGACTTTAGGTGGCTGTAGCAGTACAGATGAAGTGTGGATCTATGAGTCCAGATTTCAAAGCTCTAATCAATAGTTTGTTTCTGAACAAACCTCAGGGTGATTTCCCTATACAAAGCAGAGATTTGATTACATGACTTTTAGTTTTATTATGGACAGGTTTTTAAGTATTACTGTGAGTGCACTATGAAAACTCATAACTGTCAGTGAACTGATCGCATTGAACAGGTGCAGGAATTTGAGAATCTCAGAATACATTTGAATCCAAAATCCACATGCATGAGGATGTTAGGGCACAGCTGTTATTCTGGTGGTGCACAAGAAATACAGAAAAGAAAGCTTAAAAAACTCCTACATCAACCAACCAAGAAGTAAGACAGTAAGATTAAACTCGCAGAGCATTATTTAATGTACAGTCCATTTCTCATCCTGCTTTCACTGCTGGGGTTCTGTAAGAACATTAGTCCTATCACTTCATGTTAGAAATTGCATTTGCATAAAGTTTTCCACAAGCTTTTAGCTAAGAGGTAATAAAGTTTGACTGTAACTCACAGCTGACAAGTAAGGAAGCAGAGGCATGGAGAGGTTAATGGCTTAATCAGGCTGTGACTTGGATCAGCTCACACCACAGCTCAGTGGTGAAGTCATGACTATAACTCAGTCCTCCCTCCTGAGCAGGTTTGTTAAAATTAATGTGTCTGATACAACATATTCTGAAAGACACAATTCCTTAAAACTGCCCAAACACTAAACAACCAAAAAAAAAACAAAACCCAAAGCAAAACCCCTCAAATAACAACAAAATTAAGCATTCAAAGTGGGAAGAAAATGAAATCTAGGGACAGACAGAATAAAAATGATCATTCCTCTATCATGTGTCTAGGCTGGTTTGATGCTCATCACCATGTCATAATTCAATAGAGGCCTACATTCATTTTTTAACATGTCAAGAACATTCTCCCCCGAATCTTTAAAGTAAAGCCAAGTGATTAGTGCATAGATCAGAACAATGAAAAATCTTCATGCCATGAGTTGACAGAGCCATTGAAGATGGAGGTTTGCAGGCAATGTACTGATGTACAATGTGGCATTTCTAACCAGCTAGAAGTCTAAATGAATGTACACATACAGCATAAGGATGAACACTGTTTTTAAGATCTTAAAGGTATCCACAGCACGCATAAAAATGGCACTTAAAAACCCACCATTAATCTTTACTTGTTGTTTTGAGAGTCACCAAACAAGGACACAAGGAAACATTTTGAACTAGTAGTTAATTTAACTAAGTTACATAAATCTCCCTATGATGAGGGCATATATATGAGGATGTATTCTGCTTTTAGAACTAGAAAATTTATTAGCCAAATAAAGAAGGGGAAGGGGATACACACACGCACACACACAAGAAAAAGGACTGCTTCTAACTGCTATGCCCTGGATTTCCAAACTTAAATCTATGAAAACACGTATCTAGTGGGAATTGCTATGAAGCTTTGCTCAGGAACACAAACCTCACTAAATTTACTTCCAAATACATCACTAAATGGCAAGGCATAATTAATGTGAGCATATAAATGCTTGACAAACTGCATTGTAATAAAAAAAGGTCTGTCAACTGTGAGAGCTAAAAGGAAGGGTCTTTTCTAACTGAAGAACTATGCATTACTTAAGCAGAAGGAAGAGGGAAGTCCTCTGCAGAAGCAACCAGCAGAGCCACCTTGGAAACAAGTTCTCAATAAACTGGATTAGAAATCCACTGATATAGAGCAATTCCTGGGTTTTATTTTCAAACCACTTTTCACTCTTGTTGTCCTTGCAGCATTCCTG